CGGAGTAGCAGAGTACGCAGGGCCAGGTTGGCAAGGGCACAAGTGACAAAAAGTGACAGAACTACTGGAGACCTGCGCTTGAAAGAGCCAAAAGAAGACCATATCCCAGCATCACCAGATCGGGGAAACCCATCATCCTGTGGTTTGCGGGGCACAGCTGGCGATACTCTCGGCCATTAAACCTTGTCCCTCCCTCCGCACCCATGGAATGGTAACAGCGAGCAAAGTGCCGTAGTAATTACCATTTTCCCCACGACATCATGCGCCAATTCGATGATCTCTGCCCAGCGGCCCTCGCTTGCCACGCTTTTTCTGCCTTTGGTATCCAGCTTCGAGAGAGACACTGCATGCTGCATTACGACGCTGATGCTGCCGCTGCTGCGAGCTTGTCGGACCGCTCGACCACTCGGATGGCGAGTCTGCAACATATCGAGACCGGCGGCTATCTCCAAGCGTTGAACTCTGCACACCTGCCCTAGTCGCCGACAGTTTGGGTATAACACCAAGAGCTTTGCAATAGCTTACATCTAGCTGCGTCTGCGGCCCAGGCCGTTCTGTTTCTCTCTTCTTGTCTCCATCTAGAAAAACACATAGTGAGTTTCAGCGAGCAATACCGCGGGCGAACCCCCGCGCCTCCGCAACTCCCGCATTTTCCCACTTGCTACTTGAAGAGCAATCTGCCACTAAACCCACCAACGCTGGGGTCAGTAGCGTGACCTGATTCCAAAAGTTGCAAATTGCTTTGGACCACCGGCGTGGCCGCCCCGCGTTTACTCCAGTCTTTCCCCAATCTCTAGGATTGCCTACCTAAATTCTTTCGTTTCCCACGCAAGGCTTGACCCAACCCCCGTGGGGCCAAGACCAGTGGTTGGGGTTTCTTTTCGGCCCGTAAAGACAGTCCAAGAAACTCTCTCTGTTAGTTGCTTCTTGATTTTTTGCTCTACTCTCGTAACCATCATCGTCATGATCCGTCTCCGCCGAGCCTCAGTAGAACCACACGCCCAGGGATCATGACTCCTTACCCTTGGTCCGTCTGCGGAGCGGTTACCTTGGCTTTGCCCTGGCTGACGTTGTATCGAGAGCTCCGAATGACAGCTTCCCCGGTCCAGTCGGATCGTCGTACTGGCGGGCGTAGCGCGCGTAGCCGATATATAAGATGAACGCCTTGAGGGCCTGCGTTGGTGAGATCTTGGAGGTCAAGCGGCGTGTCTACCAGTACTATCCATCGCAGCACAGCATGTCAGTCCTCAAGGGTGGTGCCGTCTTCACGGCCATCGCCTCCCTCGCCGCTGTCGCGGTCCCGGCTTCATCTGCCAGCGTCCCGACCATCACTCCCGAGTACCTCGCGACCGCGAGCAACAACTCCCTCTTCACACGCTGGAGGCCTCGCTCCCACTACCTCGCGCCGCACAGCTGGCTCAACGACCCTTGCGGTGCCGTCTACGACCCGGCTACGGAGACATACCACTTGCACTACCAGTTCCACCCCAACCACGTCAACTGGGGAAACATCTCATGGGGCCATGCCGTCTCCAAAGACCTCTTCCACTGGACCGACGTTCGCGACTGGCAGAACGACTCGTCCGTATCGCTCGCCTCTGGCAAGTACGCGTCCGGCCCTCTCTCGCAGTTCACCGGCACCACACAGCCCGTCAACATTGAGGGTGCCAGCGATGGCACACTCCTGACTTTCGGCACCGGTATTCACTACCTGCCCACGAACTGGAAGCAGCCGTACATCACTGGCACCGAAGTGCAGGCCATGTACACCTCCTCCGACGGAGGTTCCACCTGGGACGAAGTCGGCACCGTTCTTTCTGGACCTCCCGAGGGCTGGAACGTCACCGGCTGGAGAGATCCCAGCTTCTTCCCCTCCACGGAGCTCGACATCCTCCTTCAAGTCAGCGAGCCCCACTACTACATGGTTCTCGGCTCCGGTCTCAAGACCGGCGATGTCCCCGCCCAGCTCCCCGGCGCCGCCCGCCCCGGTTTTATCGGCCCCCGTATCCCGCTCTACTCCGCGCCCTCTTCCAACCTGACCCAGTGGACCTTCCTCGGCGCCCTCTGGGAGCCCGCCGCAAACTCTTCCCTCGGTGCACCCGACATCACCGGATCCTACGGCTACAACTTTGAAGTCAGCAGCTTCTTCGACCTCCCCGTCGGCGATTCGGACGAGAAGGCCTGGTTCGTTACCATGGGCGCCGAGGGTGGCAACACAACCCAGCACTGGAAGGAGCAATGGGCTCTGTGGAACCGCGGAGACGTTGCCCGCCGCGACAACGGCTCCGTCGAGTTCACGCCCACCGCCGGCGCCGCCCTGGACTGGGGTATCTCCTACGCCCAGGCCACCTGGAAGGACACCCGCAACGCCGACCGACGCGTCATGTGGGGATGGGCCAACGACGATATCCTCGGCGACTACGGCTACAACACCTCCAAGCAGATGGGCTACCAGGGTTCCATGAACCTCCCCGTGGAGCTCTACATCAAGGAGACCAAGGGCGTCCAGAACTGCGGCACCCAGCAGGACGGAAGCACCTGCATCGAGAGCTGCAACGGCCACACCGCGCAGACCCTCGGCATGCGCCCCCTCCCCGACGTCCTCGAGCTCCTCCGCGAGGGCGCGCAGATCAACGAGTTCGAGATCGGCCAGCTCACTGACACCAACAAGACCGCCTCTGCTGATCTCGGCACTTCCTACGAGCTGACTGCCACCCTCAGCGACTTCAGCGGCTCCGCGGGTATCATCCTCGCCCAGAGCCCTGACTCCGCCGAGTACACCACGATCAACTTCGACGTCGAGGCCTCGGAGATCAGCGTCATCCGCACGCACAGCAGTCTCCTGCCCAACTTCAACAACGCCACGTTCGTCGGCCACTTTGAGCCCTACCAGATCCACGAGAAGGGCGCCAACGCGACCGTCACGGAGGAGCTCAACTTCCACGTCGTGCTTGACAACTCTCTGCTCGAGATCTGGGTCAACGAGCGCTTTGCGCTGACGGCGCGCATTTACCCCTCGCGCAACGACAGCACGGGGTTGACCTTCTTTGCTGCTGAGGGTGGCAAGGCTACCTGGAAGGATGTCAAGGTCTGGACTGGCCTTGCGCAGGCGTGGCCTGAGAGGCCGGAGGATTCCAGCGTTCCCTTGGTTTGGGACACTGCTGAGCAGACGAACAACTACACTTGGTGGGCCGGATACTAGGTGGGAAAGTCCGTAGACCTAGAAGTGATGAACAATAGATGATGATTTTACGCATGATTACAGTATAGAGTAATACTTATTACAAGAAGTAAAAGTTTTGATACAATGCTTATTATTTCTCGCCTGTCCTTGTCTGCACCATGAGATCAGTGCCATATTCATGAGTCTTCTTAATGGTGAGACAGTCGCATGCTCATTTGGATCCGGAACCTCAGCAGCTCCTGCCCATGCAACCACTACGTTGTCTGTATATCTACATATGGTGTCAGCTAATTCTCTCCCATTGTTAGATCACAAGACGCAACTTGAGTCATTCCGGGCGCGACAAAAAATATAGACGACGGTTATCAGCCTCAAAAAAGATCAAAATGAAAGGGACGAGACTCGAACTCGCGCGGGTTGCCCCACCAGGAAACAGATGTTAAGCTGACCTTAACCTGGCGCCATAACCAACTCGGCCACCCTTCCGATAGTGATCCCTGGATATCCTTGGATCGGTGTGGTTGAGGTAGAGGGCGCGGGTGAGGGAAGATAAAGCCCTAGAGTGGAGCATCGTGAGGTTTTTCTTCAGGTGATAACTTTCCGGAGCGGAGTCCGGCTTGGTTGGATGTGGGGATCATGGCCGTTGCCACTAGGCTAGGACCCATTTCACGGAAAGGCGGCAGTGGCTTTGCTACTACGGGTTTTGCGAGATGATGAAACAGAAGCTGTTCATCGTGGTCAGTAGGCCAAGTCCAGCCTAGATGAGCAAGGTGAGCGCTGAGCTGAGTGAATGATCTGGGGAGCCTGTGCTAGCCGACGTGAGACCTAACAGGGGAATCGCTTTCAAATATCGATGGGTTGAGGTAGCCAACTTCAATGAGGTGAGAAACATGCAGCAGCAGAGAAGCCCCAAGTAAGACGTGAGTAAGAGTTTCATGGCCATGATGAGACTGTGACTCAAAGCAAAGAGAGAAAGTCGAGGCTCTACTGATATCAGCACAAATCCTCAAGCTGAGGGTACCTCAGATTCAGGTCATGTTCAGTGGTGCTCCCAACAGAATGGTCCAGACCCAAGAAAGCACTAGGCAAACAGGATATTGCACAGAGCCAATGATCGCAATCCATCGAGTTAAGGATCGAATGGTCCGGATCGCCCTCCCTCCCTTCGCCTGCACACAGAATGTGGCTACACGAGCCCGGAGCTGTCAAAACGGCAGGCCAAGCAGAAGATGCCACCCAATCGTGCGGTAAACAGGTGTCATTGCTTCCCGTCTTGCCGTACAGCTAAGGTAGCTCATCCATGGATGTGTTCACCCATGTGGAGATCTTCCGTGTGCACTGGTGGGTTGACGATCGCGATCATCGCCTTGGGGCACCCAATTAGTGATGCGCGGCCCGTGACGTCATGCATACCTACCCAAATACGGTAAGTACCTAGCTCGAGCAGATACGCGCTTGACGTCGGCGGCGGCTGCATTCCAGCTGTCTGCTCGTGCCAGCTTTCTCCCAAAATCATGATTTCCAGCTGTCTCAGCTTCGTAGCCCCATACGAGCGGATGAACCTCGAGACGACTTCAAAGCTGGAAGGTCCCCCGCTTCGCAGTCGAACGTCCATCCTATCGCTCCTTTTCGCCCATGAACAGTAGCGGCAGCAATCATGTTCAAGGGTAAACCTAGCGACACCGACGAGATGGATTCACACGCACCGCCTCCACCTCCGCCAACGACAGCACCGCCCCCTCCGCCTGTTACTTCAGACCCCGGTGTAGACACCCCGGCGAGCCAATCTAGCTATGGATACTCCAGCCAGTCGACGATGGGACAGGAACCGGAGATAGTAGAGGCACACGAGGAGGAGAGACCAACAGACAGCCATCACCTGGCAGACATGGCTGCCAAGGAGAAGCCGATCGAGGAGAAGGGGCACGCCGAGCTTGACCATGATCATGTTGAAGTGAAGAACTTGGGATGGAATAACCCACCTAGCAAGGTTGCGCAGCCCATGGTTGGTGGTTTGAGCAACGAGGATCTCTGGATATTGGTTCGACGATTTGACAAGGTAGAGCGAGCCGAACGAACTCTGTGCTGAATTATGCCATTCGTGGGGATACTGATACTTTTCTAGCAAATCTTTCACGTCAAGTCGATCCCCGAGCCACCGGTGAGCTTGCCATTCCAACTTGCCGCGTATCAGCAGCTAAATGTAGACGGGCAGCTTGCAAACCTGGATATGAACATCGCCGATGAGGAGGAGTTCTCGCCTGATAAACTGCGCGCCCATGTCGAGCGCTTGTACATGACTGTTGTTGTTGGCTTATTTTCCTTCTGGAAACACATTGTCCGTCTTCGTTCATGGCGCGAATACAAGCGCACCTCACTCTTCCTCGCAGTCTACTCCATCGCATGGATTTTCGATTACGTCGTCCCTGTCTTCGCCAGCTTCCTCATCGTCCTCATCCTCGTCCCGCAATCGCGAGACTTTTGTTTCCCTCCCGCCCCCGCCTCCCTCATCGACAGTAAAACTGGCGGTGTCAAGAAGCCCGCATCCGGCGTCCTCGCGTCCGATGACTCGATTACCGGCGCACCCGAGAAGCATGCTGGAGAGGCAGTGGAACAGGAGGCGTCGAGCTTCGTGAACAGCATCTCATCGCTGATCATCAGCACGGCGGCGGGAAAACATCCTCAAGGCGATCCCCACGACGATTCTTCTGTCCCCGACCCTACTAACATTACCCAAGATGTTGTCAATGCCAAGGATAAGACGGACGGCAAGGAACCCACTTCCCACCACGACAAGACCAAGAAGCCTGTTCACGAGTCCGTCTGGGTCAAGGCTAGGCCTGTGATGCATGGCATCGCCGACGTGAGTACTCCGACTCGGAAGTCACTTGTTCATGTCATTGACAGAATGCACAGTTCGTCGATACCTGGGAGCGTTTCGGAAACGCTCTGAGCCCAACTCCACCATTCCCCCAGCAGAGACCTCGTCTTGTCCTTGCCAGCGTTATCTTGCCACTATTACTCGTCTCTTTGTTTACAACCTCGTACATGCTGGTCAAGGGCACCGGGTTTGTGGTTGGATTCACCATTTTTGGAGACCCCATCATCCAAAGAGGCCTGGTGTTTATCAACCGGTCAGTTTTTCTTTCAACGTTGATTACTCGCGTGTCTAAAGTATGTCCAGAACCTACCCTCAATGGCAGAAGTATGTTGAATTGCGAAACACCATTCTCAAGGGCATTCCCACCAATGCCCAAGTCACCATCACGCTCCTGCGCATTGGCGAGCGAAACAAGGCCCCGCTCCCACCTCCGCCAAAGTCCGATGTACCGCCACCTGATGAACCTCATGCGACCGCTGGCCAGGACTTGGAGCATCTTGGTAAGTCCTTCATGATTATGGTATGCCGCCAAGCACTGGCTCATAACTCACCAGGCGTCGATCAAGCAGAGATAGACGAAGCCATTCAGCCTGACGAAGCAGCACTGGCGCCAGCTGAATCGGAAACAGCAGAGCACAAGCAGAAGAAGGGCCATCGTATCATGAACTTTATCAAGAGCTCTGCCAAGGGCGGCATAAACACCACTCTCGCCGCAGACAAGGTCAAGGCCAAAGTTGGCGCTAAACACGCAAAGGACAGGTTGGGCGTCGTCAAGAAGACGCCCGACCCCGAGAAGGGTCCCGTCCGCTTCCCGGCACGCTGGAAGGGTAAGAGGGGCCACGCATATATCACGACTACGGCTACGACCCCCGCGCTCAGTTGGACCACGGAGTCGGATGATCTGAGTCCGACATGGACTGTCACTATTGGCGATATTGAGGTGAGAAGTTCCGATACGGGGTTTCGGCATGCCACGACTGACGTGTATCCGCTAGCAAATTCGCAAAGTTGGCGGTCTTGGCTGGAAGTCCAAGATCTTTGTCGGCTGGGCTACTGATCGTGAGATTGCAGACGGCCTGATCGTGACGGACAGCATGGGCAAGGAGTACCATCTCACTGCCATCATTTCGAGAGATGAACTCTTCAACCGTCTCGTGGCCTTGGGGTCACAGATGTGGGCAGCATGGTAATGAGATTATGACATTATGAAAAGCAGTGGAACTGTAACATATACACGGCGTTCTAGAGAGATTGAGCCTTTTGGGAGAGGTACAGCATACGCATTCCATAGCTGTACAGTAAACGGATACATCAATTACGAATCTGTGAAGTAGCCTCCACCAGTCCTTGAGTCTCCACTGTCAAATGGTTAAATTGCTTTGCTTTAGTATAAAACCACCTCAGCCCCCGAATCTGCTGTCACACACATTCATGGTGCCTTCCTAATACCGTATTACATCTGAATATTCTCGTTTCATGGTGTCTGACGTAAGGAAGCTGCAGATTGCCCAACTCCCTAGGGAAAACATCGATGTCTATGCACCTGCTTATCTAGGCCACCAATTACGACTGGGCCGTTGACTTGCCCGACCTAGTTGAAAGTCCTCTATATTGTTGAAATCTCATCGCGACCGCACCATTTGTAAGTTTCTGCCTACCTTCTCCGTCTGCACCTAGTCCCTCGGGCTCTCTACGTGTTCATCGTGAGCACTGCCAACTTTACCAAGTTTTCTCCCCCGTCTCTCGAGATACGCAATGAGTAGAATCACCGGCACAGTCAACGCGCCCGTCACCAAGCTAGCAATGTATCCTTTCCGGTAGTTCGGTGCATCCGTCACGGGGTAAAAGATCAGAGGCCACCACGTCTAAGTTTCATCATCAGTCAGTGCCAGACAAATGCTAATGGAGAAGAAACTGTAGCCCACTCACCACAAACGCAAAATCAAACGAGTTCATGAACCCCGTCGTGATAGCCCTCAGCTGCAGATCGTGCGCCGTCAGGTCCGCCATCCACGAGTACCACAGCGCCTGCGGTGCATATGTTGTGCCCATGAGATAAAACGCGAAAAAGTATCCTGCATCCGGCGGGTCCGAGATCAAGATGGCGCTGCTGACGATGAACGTGAACCCGATGCACAGCGAGGCCTGCCAGCGCGAGCGAAGCTTATCGGAGACGGCGCAGTAGACGAAGGTCGCGACGATACCTGTGGCGTAGGTCGCAGTCGGGTAGTTGTTTTGCTGGATTACGGAGTAGCCCCGGGATGCCATCCAGAGGGGTATGACGTTGTTGCCTATTGCTTGGACGCTGAGGGAGTATACTAGGTGCGCATGTCAGCAACAACTCAGGCCTAAGCAGTCATGAACACTCACGCATGAAAACAGTTGGAAGGAGCCAGAACTGCCAGCTGAGTAGGACACGTTGGAAAACGCTCCTATCCCATGCTTTTGTCTGTGTTCTGCCGAGGCGGGTGACGGCGAGGTCCCTCTCTTCCGGGGTCAAGAATCTCGCTGCGCGATGCTCTGGTAGGTCAGGGATGGCGAACCAGCCTTTCGACATGTCAGCTTCACATCAAACATGAGGATCAAAGCATGTAGGTACCTACCAAAGACGGCAAAGGGAATGGTGATGCACGAAACCACTATGAAAATAAGTCGCCAGGGCTCAATCGGGCCATTGGAAAGAGACGCCAGAAGTCCCGCCTGGATCCAACCTCCTGCCATGTTGCCGAGGTTGCCAAAGGCGCAAAAGACCGCTGCGCGGGTGGCTAGCTCGGATTGTTTGTACCATGATCCGTAGATAAAGTGCGCGCCGACGCTGAGGTGCGGTGTTAGCAAGGCAAACTTACGAGGCGCACGGGAGAACCTACTATGCGATGGCTGAAAAAGCGCCTTCGAAGCCGTTGAGGACGAAAACTTGGTAGACGTGTGTTGCTCGGAATGTGACGAGGGTGAGGACGCTCCAGACTGTGTTCGCTGCGACGAAGACGTAGCGGGGTTTCACGATGGTCAGGAGCGAAGTTGAGGGAATTTGAAATACGGCGTAGGTGACTAGATAGATTGTATGCATGTAGTTGAAGTCCTAGAGTCGAGTCAGTCATTCTATCTCACATGCAAGCTTTTAGATGTTCCTCTTGTTGAAGTGTCGTCAGTCGCTCACCTTTCCTTGGAAATTCAGGTCCTCCTTCATGCCGCTGATATACGCCGTATTGTAGCTCGCGCGGTTGACGCCGAACAAAAACCACACGACAGAAAAGTAGATGAGCACGGTAAAATCAAGCTTGATAAGCAGCGATCGCTCGACCGACGGCGGGCCCCAGAGGGCTTCCTTGATCTTCGACACCATCTCAGACACTGGCTGCTCACGTTTTCGATGTGAGATTGTCGAGCCGGGAAGCAGCGGCGCCGCCTCCCCAGAGATTGCACCCGGCATTTTGTCTGTTATTTGAAGCGAGCCTGCACGCCAGCCCGCGTACTACCATCCAAGGGTTCCACTGGGGTTCAACAATGTCGTCTTGAAGGGTTGCACATTTCGCCATCCCCAAATATCCCATGGGAGATAAAGGAGGGAAGGTCGTTGGGCTTAACCGAGGTTCGGCCGATGTCTCTAACCGCAACCATGAAGGGTTGATCCTGCCATCCAGAGTTACACCGGTTCGGTACTAAGGCTTACAAAGGTTCTCTGGATCAAATGCGAAACCCCGCCTAACCCCACTATCCGCGGATTGCGCGATCTTGCCCGTTTTGATGGACATCTGAATGGGAATCAGAGATAAGACCGTCGTGTAGCTACGACAACCCCCGACTTCTTCGTGCACATTCTGTAGAAATAAGGTAGTCCCTGGTAGATCTCCATCTGATCATTGTGTATTCAAAAACATTCAAAAACAATACTGAAGGTTCCCGGTCGAAAACAAAAGTTGAAAGGTGTTAATATTATCCGTCCAATTGCTTTGCGAGCTCATAATTCCACAATTAAGCACAAAGTGCTTACATCCGAGTACCTTATTCAATCACGTCTGGTCTGACAAGTATCTAAGCATAGGTCTAGTCGAACAAAAAAGACGATAAACGTTCTTTTGCCTCTGCATCTTCCCATTCCATCAATATGCGTTCCTTGGACTCCTCCATCTTGATTTGCACCATGTTTTCCATGGCAGCTTGCTCTTCTGAGCTGAGAAGATGGATCCTAGTTTTCCACAGCTCGCTTTTGGGAACGCCGCTGTTCGGATCACGTTGGCCAAAGAACTTTTCATCAAGATATTTCCAGTAAATCGCATCGAATGCCCAGCTCTTCCTCGCGGCATAGTTTAGCCAGAAACGACCCGTAGCCCAGCTATCCCGCATATACGCTGAGAGAAGAAAGGGCGTTTCTGAATTCTTCATTTCTTCCTCCGCCTCTTGTAAGGCTGACAACCATGTTGGGAGGTGTTTCTCGTAGTTATGCTCCCAGTCTTCGATCCCGTTATCCCAGGAATCGGGCGTATCAAGGAGAAGCCACCAGGGTGGATCCAGCACTAACTGCGTCGGCCCGGCAAACGTGAATTCCCAGTCAAAGACCGCGGCGATATCATCATTCTCGTTGACAAGAATATTAGCCGGCCGAAAGTCATCGCACCACAAGCGAAACGAGCCCGAGTTGTCAGGCATCGGCAGTGTCGCAGGACTGTTCTTGGCGCGGGCGGACCAGTTATCTTCAGCAAAGCCATAACTCGACAGTCGACCTTGTTTGGCCGACCTGCGAAAAAGCTGACGCGCGACGTACTTCGGTCCTGCAGTCATCCCGTGACAAAAACATGTCGTTGTGTTGAAAAAGTAGTGTTGCCATTTGCTGCTCAGCCAAGACCACATACCACTCATTGGTGGTTTTGTACGTGGTACCTTTAGGCGGAAAGGCGGATTTGGGTATGTTGGACAGTTGGACCATGTTGATCATGTTCAAAGTGATGGGCCGTCCGCTTACAAACTGAGATCCTGACCCGGGGTTCGTCTCGACAAGACCTCCAATGCACGGAAAGCTAGGCTGCGCAAGCTGCAGCACACATTCTGCCATCTTGCGATAGAGACTCTTGAGCTTGCCTTCGGGCATATCCGGATCGAGCACGGCTGGGTTGGAATGCGGCGTAGAGACAGATCTACTCATGGTCTCGAGTTCTTTGGACCCGAGATCTTCCATGATCAGGAACGGACCAATGCCTGATCTAGAATCAACACCATACTGGTACACCTTCGGGATTGGAAGTTGAGTGTGTTGGGCAATATATCTCGCTGTCGCGACCTCCATTGCTAGAATTTCTTCATGGAAAATGCCTTGACTCGGGAATGGTACACGAACCAAGATCTTAGCGGAAGGACTTCCGCCGTGTGGTCGAAAGGGATAGAGCATGTGGAAGCCGCCCATCACCAATGGTGGTGCGCGCTCTACAGACGTGCCCAACGTGGTTTCTGCAACAGCTTTGACTTTTTCAAACTGTGAAGTTTTGCGGAGTCTGGCCGAATCTTGTTCGAAGAGTTCTTCAGACTGATCCCATTTGAGATTGTCAGAGTGTATCCGAGTAGGAGCTACCATTGTAATGAGAGATGTTGAGAATGGCCCATTAAATATGTGTGAGTGGAGAGGAAGATGCTGTGACATGTGTTTCAGGAAACCGCTTGGTTCTTATAGTTGGATGTGCCTAAGGCTTGAAAGGTCATTTTGCTGACCAACGCTGATACCTAGTCTTAGTAGGGTGGGGATCTTGAAATGTCTTGGACTGGCCAGGGGACCTTACCAACATCCAACGGTAAATTGCTGAGTGCAGCCATCGTGAGCCGAGCACAGAGACTGCACCGTCAGCGTCCGGTGAATAACCCAGAGTGAACATAAGTCCTGAAATATCGGAGCTGTGACAAAACATTGGGCGTTCTGGTCAAAGGTTCAAACACAGTGAAGTCAACGTTGGGGGCAAGGCGCTGGATCGCGCGAAGGCCCTTGACTATCACCACCTTGCTTGCCAAGGCCGGAATAGTAGACTAGATCAAGTATCAAAACTCAACCAACAACGCAGATAGAATGGTGTCAAACTCAACAAGGTGAGTCTGGGGCATAGTGAAAGAGGATGAACAACCGGTGCTGAGATAATGCCGAGCGGCATGCAGTCAGAAACCCTATCTGCCCTACCTTACTTGTAGATGCTAGTAGGACCGAGTTCAAAGAGTCTGGTCTCAAAGACAGTCCCCAGAAGTGGTTGACGACATGATTTTCAAGTGAGTGTTCTGAGCCTCCGCAACGCATGTAAGCTCGGAGTTCGAAGCTAGACAATGGACGCCCGAAGGTGGCATGGGTAAGGCCTTATTGGCAGGGAAAACATGATTCAACTAATTCAGACAGGCATGAGGGCGAACGATCTCAAACCCTTCTCAAAGATACGTAGTTACCTATTGATCAGGCTGAAAGAGAACTCCAGTCGGAACGTTGCTGGCAGCCTTCTTTGAGAGGTTATGGGGTAAGAGCGCAAACAGCTCAATGCTGGGGTAAGGAGGCACTCTGTGCGGTAAATCCAAGTGTAATAGCGTCTTGGAAAGACGATGAAAGATATTTCAGAACCATTGGTAACAGGGGACACGATATTGAGAAGATGCTATAAGGACATCTTGCAACCATCAATATGCCACAACTCGTTATCCTGGTCGACCAAGTTTAGACTGACGCACCCGAAGTCTAGAATTTCTCCATTTCTAGCTTTGAATCTTGAGTAAATCAAGCAATTGGACCATCTCAAGGTCATATTCAGTGTCATCGTGGGATTATACTGTGTTCAAGAACCTCGGAGTGTCACAGACAAGCTCTGAATTGATAGATCAGGTAGGGGTCACTTCTCAGCCTGGCTGCCTAAGCTAAGTAGTGAGCTAATAATGTGATTGATTCAAGACTTCTATCATGTCTTCAAACACAGATGTACCCAATAGTCGAGAGGAACGATTGAACGATACGGCAAAAGAAGAGGAGACGCCTGCTTCCCCTATCTACAATGATATACTCGATAGTCAGGAAAAACGAAGGAAGGATCTCAAGGATCAATCGCTTAAAACTGGTGATGTCAGCCGGAAAAGACGCTTGGTACAGGAGGAAAAAGAGGAGGAGATGCGTCTGATGAAGCCAGAGTCTCCAGGGGATAGTCCTGTCTACTCTAAAGTACCGGATAGTCCAGGGACAAAAGCGGATCATGACGAAGATATGATCGTAAGGAGTGGTGAAAACAGCCAATCAAGACGCTCGGGGAAGAAGAAAGTGGCAGAGGAGACATCTTCCTATTCTAACGAACCAAATAGGCCCAACTCAGCCGAAGTCAACAGCAAACGGGCCACGTTTCGGACTGGCATTATGACTCAGAAGGAACATTTGAACGCGAAGAAGGTAAAGAAAGACAGAGAAGAAGACGAAGATGAAGAGGCATAAACACAGCTATATATAGGTCACGGGTGAAGTGACGGGGATAAGTCGCTAAAGTACTTAGCCTCGTGCCAGAGACTCGAATGGGTACCTACCTTAGTAGGGCAACGTGCTAGAAGGATAGGCAGGAACAACCCATTTGTCCTTGCCCAGCAGTAATGTATTCATAGCATGAAAGTGTTCAGTATCTAGTCACCGAATTTAGTTTAGTGTCAATTCAACATTGTTCCAGTGCTCGAAAAATGCCTTATTCCACTCAATTCAGCATATAGATGACTAGCTAATCACGTACTTAATGGGCAGATGAAAGTGGCGCGAGCTACTGGAACGTGTTTGTGTGGGTCGCGTTGGATTAGGCAAACAGCCAAGACTGTATCTGCTGTAAACGACAAAGAAAGACGGAAACCAAATTCGACTTCTACTGTAGTATTGATCAGAGGATTGGGGAATTTTCGATATTTGATTGTGTGAAGAATCATTCGACGTTGTTGGGTTGAGCGCTGTCGAGAAGCTCCGAAACGCGCTACGTGGCACTAGCACGATCTACCGCGTGGCGTCTCTGCGCACGTCCCGACGCGATGGATCTCGAGCCAGATTCGACGTCCATCACCGTTGCGAGGGAGGCGGTGGCAGCGAGCGACGAGGACCTGCCATCACGAAGGGTGCGAAAGCCATCCGCGAAAGCCCAACTGAACCAGACTCATCAAGATATAATCGACAATGCGACCGACGGAGCGACGGAGGTTGCTGGTGGTGGCCGGCGGACGACGACCAAGCGAGCCACAACCCTGGCCAAGGAACGCGCGAAACCCATAGAGGATGACGACAAAGGGCTGCTCCTGACGATGGGCAAGCAGGTCAAAGAGCTACACACAGCGGTCAAGATCATGTTCGATGCGTGGAAGAAGTCGGAAGCACGGAATAAAAACGTTGAGGCAGAGCTTCGCGTGGTCACTTCGGAGCTGCAAACAGTCAAGAGCGAGCTACAGGCCGTCAAAGGAGAGCTGCAAGCGATGAAAGAACGCGTGGAGGACGAAAGCGCCAAGACGAACGAAAACCTCGAAGCACTCGCAACAGTTGCTGCGACGCGGAACAGCCCAAGTGTGTCCTACGCGGACGTCGCGCGAAGCGGCTTAGGTGGGCAAGGTCGCGACTCGCGGGTAGCCACGGCGGGCAACGCGACGCTGCCGAGCCGCAGCGACCCCTTCTGTACGATCGATACATCAAGAGTTGAAGAAGGCAGCGACAAGCTCAACCCAGGCCGGATCCGGGCTGCGGTGGAAAAGGAGATGCGCGCGTTGGACGGACAGGGTAGCTGGCGGTGTCTGGCCGTCACGGTAGACCCAAGGAACGCGGATAGGATCCGGATCATTTGTCGCGACGATGCGGAGCATAGGTATGTCAAGCAGATCGCGGAGAAGAGCTTCGGCCGTGGAGCACGCGTGCTACGAGACGAACTCTATCCCGTGAAGATCGACAACGTGAAGCGAATTGAGGTACTGGATGAGAAGGGCAATGTCAGGGCTGAAGCGGCGGAGGCACTTAGCCGAGAAAACGAGACCACGGTTGCCAAGATTTCTTGGCTTAGCAAGAAAGAGATACCCAAGGCGTATGGGTCCATGGTCGTGTTCGTGACCAAGGCCGGTGATGCGCGTAGACTGATCTCCGAGGGCTTCTTCCACGTTGGAGGAGAGTCCGGCACGACGATGGCGTTTGAACGGCGGCCGCGCCCCCAGCAGTGCTACAACTGCCAGCAGATCACGAAGCACAAGGCGTACCAGTGCGTAAACCCCCGGGTGTGTGGACGATGCGCCAAGGTAGGCCACCACCACTCTGAATGCCGTGAGACGATCGTGACATGTGTGCCCTGTGGCGGACCGCACGAGTCGTTCAGCAAGAACTGTCCGAAGCTGTATCCGCGTTCCCATGAGTAGGAAGGTCCAGATCCTTCAGCTCAACGTGAGGAAACAGGCTGCAGTGCACGAAAGTCTGATGAATGATGAGGCGTTGCGCGACTTCACGGCCATAGCGGTGCAGGAGCCATGGGCGCGGAGGATAGAAGGTAAGGTCATTACGGTTCCGATGGGCAATAGCAGGTGGACGAGGATGGTACCAACGGAGTGGAGGGACGAAGGAAGATGGGGAATCAGGAGTTTGCTTTGGGTGAACAGAGACGTAGAGACAGAGCAGCTGCCGATAGCGTCCTCGGATATCACTGCGGCCATCGTCCGGCTTCCGGATCGAAGACTGATAGTGGCGTCGGTGTACGTGCCGGTGCAGAGGCCGGAGATGCTGCGGCAGGCGTGCGACCTGCTGAGACAAGCTATCACGAATGTCCGAGGAGGAACAGGGGAGAGGGTGGACGTGGTTCTGGTAGGAGACTTCAACTGCCACGACTACCTGTGGGGAGGTGACGATGTGTCGGAGGGCCGGCAGGGCGAGGCGGACCCGATCATCGATCTAATGAGCGAGTACTCGCTCCGCAGCCTCCTTCCGCGTGGCACGAAGACGTGGGAGAAGAACGATGCGGCAACGACGATCGACCTATCCCTCGCGTCCGAAGAGCTAGCAAGAACGGTGGTACGATGCGGCCTGCACGAGACGGACCACGGGTCGGACCACCGGGCGATCGAGACGACCTTCGACATCGCCGCGCCTGAGATGGAAAGCCGGCCACGGCTCCTCCTCAAGAACGCCCCATGGAAGCAAATCAATGAGAGAGTAGAAGCAAACCTAGGGCGAATGCCAACAGGAGGTACGGTGCAGCAACAGACGGATCGACTGATGTCTGTGGTGTGCGAGGCAGTAGAGGCACTGACACCTACGGCCAAGCCATCACCGTATGCAAAGAGATGGTGGACGGCTGACCTCACCCAGCTCCGGCAGATCCATACCCACTGGAGAAACCGGGCGAGAGCGGAGAGAAGGGCAGGTAACAGTCAACCTGAACTGGAGCAACGCGCACGCTCGGCAGCCAAGCAATATTCACGATGCCATCCGACAACAGAAGAAGAGCCATTGGGAGGACTTTCTGGCCGACGACGCCAATATCTGGAAGGCCGCGAAGTATCTCGACGCCAGTAAAGGGGCATCTTTCGACAAGATACCTCAACTTAAAAGGGCGGATGGTTCCCAAACGGGAGACGCCGCAGAACAGGCCGAAGAGCTGCTCTCCACATTTTTCCCTCCTCTCCCCAGCATGATCGAGGAGGAGGGGGATCGGCCACAACGATCGCCGGTACCTTCCCTAACCTCACACTGGGAGAAGTAGAGAGGACAGCTCTTTGCGGCAAAGTCGTGGAAAGCACCCGGAGAGGACGGTCTGCCCGGTGGCAGTGTGGAAGCACACGTGGCCAGTGGTGAAGGAGAGGGTGCTTACACTCTTCCAGACCTCACTGGATGAAGGGGTGTTGCCGAGGCAGTGGCGACACGCAAAGATCATCCCGCTGAAGAAGCCAAACAAAAGCGACTACGGTATAGCGAAGCCTGGCGACCGATCTCGCTTCTCTCGACGCTGAAAGTG